TGTTGACACTTTAATTTTCAATTCATGATTACAAAAAAAAGTTAGCATTTTCCAAGTATTTATATGTTATAATTTCAAGAATAGGCTTGTTTTTAAATATTTGTATGGCTTATAAATTCATAAAAAGCATTAAAAAATAACCAAAATTAAGTGCTCCTTTACTGGGTGTTCATTCACTGGTACGAGCTGTTCCTTCACTTGGTCTTCTTACTACTTGTTATTTGAACCTCCAAAACTTTAAAACAGTATTATGAAGGCTCTCTACAATTTTTTTTACATAATTTGCAATTAGTAACAAATATATTGACACTGTCATTTAACTAAATTACGAATTTTGAAATTAATATGATTTTTTAAAAGGTAAGCGAAGCTTAAGTGTTCCTTCACTCGTTAGTTTACCCTACCATTCAATATGGTATAATTATATATATATATTTATATATATAGCGCAATATTTGTATAAATATGCAAAATGTTTGATGTTTGTGATGTTTTGTTGGAATGCAATTTATTGTTCCTTATTACAATATTAATTTTTAATTGTATATTCATAAGTCTTGCAACTCAAACTGTTTTCATTACTTGTTCAAGTGTTTATTAAAAATAAATATAATCACGTCTTATGGTGAAGGCATTTCTGGAAGGAAAAAGAACATAACTCTGGTTAATAAAACCCAAAATATTCTGTTTTTAAACCATTCATTTGGTAAATTTTCCGTTCATATGGTAAAGGTTAACCGGAAATTTCAGTTTTCAAAATTATAGTTCTTATTACCATATATTTAGTAAAAAAATGCATAACTGTAAAGTTAGTTTAACCAAATAAACGATTTTATGCCATTCTCTAAGGTAACATGATAAAATTACAAAATTTTACCACATCAACGAATTTTTATCGCATATTATAAAACCATATTTTATTCTTAACTTTATCAAAATGATTAAAAAAGCACTAAGGTAAAAATTACCGAGCTTTTCGGTGTTTCCATAGAGCCAGAAACACTGTAAATTTTAATATGTTCTGGTAGTTTTGACCATAATTTTCTTCTTAGTTAATTGTGTAGCAAATTAAAAACATGAATTAATATGAATTTCCAGGAGTATAAAATAATTACAAGAAATAAAAAAATAACAATCCGTAATTTAAATAACAATGAAAGATTTTGATTATTACTTACTTAGAATACTGTCTCAAAATTTAAAAAAGAAAAAAGAAATTTATGTGTTTTACGGCAGATTTCTAAGAAAAGCAGCTTGAGGACAACTTAATACTTTCTTTCCTTTGCTAGAACTATCAAGGCAAAAATAAAATTTTAAGAAATTGATAAAAAAATTGATTTTGAAAGAAAAAAAAAACTTTACAGTATGTAGCTTTTCATGCACGAATACCAAGTATATAAAAATCTCTATTTTGAATTTCTTGTCTTGTGCGTTAATTTTACTTTTGCACTGTAAAATATTTCACCTTTTAACTCATCATAGTTCTTTTCATAATCAACAATTATAAATACTTCATTGTTAAATACTTTATTGAAAGATAACTCAATCGATCCTACTTAAATGGCAGTTCTAAATATATTTCGATTTCCTATAAAATGTTACGAAAAATGACTGCTTTTATAATGCAGGGTGTACCAAAATTGAACCAAAAATTCAGAGAGGTGATAAAAAAGCATTATGGAAATGAAATCTACCATGGAACAGGGGTTCGCAAACCACATTGGGATCGTGAAAATCGTGAAAAACCCACATAGGTCTGGTAACTACATAAGATACAACCAACTGCCTATCAACAAAAATAGTTTTTTTGATTAGATATTTTATTTTATAACCGTCGTTGAACAGTCGACCCAATTCTTGGGTTTGCGACTACTAATGTTAAACTCCGTAAAATTGCAATTTTGAAGCTAATCCAGAAGACAAGGGAACTCCTGGATCAAGTATTGGGAGAAATTTGAGTTCGTGGAGGACTTTTTGAGGGAACTGACCCACATTTGTGTTACATAGAGAGGAAAACCACGAATACCTTCCACTGTTAGCCTGATGGCAAGGGAATTCTAACCCATAATCCGTCTACCACTGAGGATATTTTACGTCGGCACTGTGGTCGGTGCGAGCCGGGTGCGGAATTCCAATCCCAGCCATTACCGGAATCGAACCCGGGTCACCTCAGGGGGTGGCGAGATTAGTTATTACAATATCTGTTCGAAATGGTATCAGCTGACATTATTTCACAATCCAAAACAACGTATAAATGATTTATGGACGAACTCAAAGATGACAGATGTGCTTTTGATGCCAGCCAAAACAAAGACAATCCACGCAACTGATTCCCTGGTCTGTCCCATTGCGTCGTCTCATCTGGTAATTTAAGATGACCCTTGCACAGCCAATTCATTTCCTTGGTTATGCAATTAATATTACTAATATTATGTTTTTAAAATCCGACCCTTTTATTACATTTGAACAGAAGACTCAATTTTGAATTTACGACTATCAATGTTCAGCTTCATAGCCTTGTAAGTTTGAACCCAACTCAGAAAAAAGAGAAGTTAGCCTGGCGGCAAGGGGATTCGATCCCCTGATCCCTAGCAGCAAAATAACTTGGGCCCTCATTGGGGCAATATTCATGAATCTTTGCTCAATAATTGCTCAAAGAGCCGTTATTTTTCCGATATTGGCCAACATAGAATTTTCCGATTCGCCTGATATTTTACAGCCATTTTACAACCCATATCGGTACTTTATAGAATTGTCGGAATCACCCGATATTTTACATCCATTATTTAGCCAATATACGTTCTATATTGGGCAATGTAGGCTCTATATAGGCCATTCTAGGACCAATGTTAAAAATCTAGACATCTCAATATTGGTCCCTCGTTGCACGTTCTTATAGGGCTTATATTGAACCAATTTTGAATCCTACTGGGGCAATGGTAAAATTGTTGCTAGGGATCCATCTACCACAAAGGTTATTTGGCGTCCGCACTGTGTTCTGTGCCGAACTAGTATTAGAAAAATTTATGCAAAGCGTTTCAATTTACTTTAACATGATCTGCAGAGCAGAAAATAAGGTTAGCGTTATGGATAACGTTAAGCAAAAGTTGCACAAAACCATTCTATTTAAACGACGAAGAAACAAAAACGATATTGAAATCCGTTGAAAGCAGAAAGAAAATATCAAAATTAGTTTTATTAACTGGTGAAGCTTGGTAGTATTATTGATAATCTCCTTTAAACTCATCCTCGTTTTCTATGGCATTCAAAATATTATTTCAATCCCGCCTTTCTTAGTAGTTATTCTTTGGATTTCAATGACGTTTTCATTTTTTTCCTTGTTTAAATATTTATTTTCGACCAACTGGGTTAATTTTGATTACGTTATTTTTCGCTAGGATTCTAAAAATATAAATTAAGGGTAGTGTTCTGGATCACCCCTATACATATTTATGAGTGCATTTGAGGAACTAAAAGAGATAGGAAGCTTATTGGTAGCTTTATAGCAAGAATTTACTAGAATATTCCTTTTTGAAAATCCTTAAACTACATTAATTGTATAAATGTAAACAATGTAGGTCTACACAGTCTATGGCGCCTTGGTATCTACAAAGTTTCAGATTAATGGGTGGCAGAAAGTCTTTAACAAGTAGAGGTGGCCGGTATGCAATGCTGACCAAGCTGTTGGACTCTTGGTTAACAACTGGTTGTTAACCAAAGGAGACATGAAGAACAGAAGAACTTAGACATATGTATGTATGCTTGCCTTTTTTTTTCCAAAAATACTATAATAAATTCTGAAAATATTCTAGTTATGCGCATTAAATAAAGTCTACTTCATACATTAGTTTAAGTTTTTTTTTTAATGAAATATTTTAAAGATGCATGATTGCAAGCTTTTATCCCATGCAGCATTATATATATTGCCACTTGCTCTCCAGAATTTATGGAATTAAAAAAAAGGTAAAATAAGTAACGTCTAAGTCATTTTAGTTTTAGATCTTCTATTCCAAATTCAGCCATCTGATATAACTTTCTGAAATTGCACTTATTTTTATATTCAATTATCGCCATAAGAAAAAAATAAGTTTAAAAAATTATAGTATTCGCAATCCTCTAAATATAAACAGAAATAAAAAAAAAGAACTGTAAAAGATTTTTAAGTTATGATTTTGTATT